GATTTTTGTTTTTAATTCCGTTAATGTGGTGGATCATATTGACTTGTGTATGTTGAACTATCCTTGTATCTCTGGGATAAAATACACTTGATCATAGTGGGTTTTTTTAATGTGTTGTTGAATTGGTTTGCTAATATTTTGTTGAGGATTTTCACATCTGTGTTCATCAGCAATACTGAGCTATAGTTTTCTTTTTTGTTGTCTTTTTCTGGCTTTGGTATCAGGGTGATACTGGCTTTGTAGAATGAGTTAGGAACAATTCCCTCATCTTCAATCTTATGAAATAGCTTTGGTAACAACTTTAGCTGGGCTTGGTGGCTTAGCTTGTAATCCCGTGCCTTGGGAGGCTGAGGTAAGTGAATTGCCTGAGCCCACGGGTTTCTTAATCTAGCTAGTATACTATCAATTCTGTTTATCTTTTCAGGGAACCAACTTTTTGTTTTATTGATTCTTTGTATTTCTTACTGATTTCAATTTCATTTAGTTCTGCTCTGATCTTTGTTATTTCTTTTCTTCTGCTAGGTTTGGGTTGGTTTGTTTGTGTTTTTCTAGTTCTTTAAGGTGTAACATTAAGTAGTTGATAATGCGATCTTTCAGTCTTATTAATGTCGGCCACAAGTGCTATAAGTTTTCCTCTGAGCACAACTTTGGATGTGTCCCTGAGGTTTTGATAACTTGTTTTGTTGTTGTCATTCATTTTGAGGAGTTTTAAAATTTCCATGTTTATTTCATTGTTAACTCAAGGATCATTCAGGAGCAGATTGTTTACCTTCCATATTTTTATTGGGTTTCATGAGTTCTTCTTAGAGTTAATTTCTAGTTTTATTCTATTGTCGACTCTGTTATTAGGTGAATATATTTAGAATAGTTATGTCTTCTTGTTGGATTGATCCCTTTATCATTATACAATAGCCCTCTTGGTTTTTTTTTTCCTCCTGTTAATTTAAAGTCTGTTTTATCTGAGAATGGCTACGCCCGCTCATTGTGATTTTCATTTGCATGGAGTATTTTTTCCCACCCTATTACCTAGAGTGTATAGACATTGTTGTGTGTTAAGTGACTCTGTTGAAAGCAGCAGATATTTGGATTGTGTTTTTGTTTTTTGTTTTTTTTGAGTTGGAGTCTCACTCTGTCGCCCAGACTGGAGTGCAATGGCTGCTCCCAGCCACTGCAGCCTCGACCTGCTGGACTCTGGTGATCCTTCCACCTCAGCCTTCCAAGTAGCTGGAATTGCAGGCGCATGCTACCACGAATGGCTAATTTTTTGATTTATTGTAGAGATGAGGTCTCACCAAGTTGCCCAAGCGGGTCTGGAACCTGCGGGCTCAGGCAATCCACTCACCTCAGCTCCCGAGACGCGGGATTACAGGCTGAGCCACCGATCCTGGCTTGGATTGTGTTTTATAATCCATTCTGCCAGTCTGTATCTTTTTTTTTTTTTGAGTCTCACTCTGCCGCCCAGACTGGAGTGTAGTGGCCACTCCTGGCCACCGCAGCCTCGACCCGCTGGGCTCCGGCAATCCTTCCGCCTCAGCCTTCCGAGTAGCTGGAATTACAGGCGTGCGCTACCACGCCCGGCTGATTTTTTGATTTATTGTAGAGATGAGGTCTCGCTGCCCAGGCGGGTCTCGAACCCGCGGGCTCAGGCAATCCCCTCACCTCAGCCTCCCAAAGGCGCGGGATTACAGGCTGAGCCACTGAGCCCAGCAGTCTATATCTTTTTAATGGGGTATTGAAGCCACTTATGTTCAGGGTTAATAGTGATATGTAAGGTAACATTCCATTCATTGTTATCTTGTTGCTTTATTATTTATTTATTTTCTCTATTGTGTTGGTGTTCTATAAGCCCTGTGATCTTTATGATTTCCAGTGTTTTTACTGGTGTATTTCTACCTTTTTTTCTTTCAGTATTTAGAACTCCTTTGAGTATTTCTTGTAGAGCCAGTCTAGCCTCAGCATTTGCTTATCTGAGAAAGACTTCATTTTGCCTTCGTTATGAAACTTGGTTTTCAGGAGTACAAGATCTTTGGCTGACTGTTACTCTGTCTGAGGAGATTAAAGATGGGAACCCGTTCCCTTCTGGCTTGTAGAGTTTCTTCTGAGCAGTCTATGCTAGTCTGATAGGATTACTTTTGTAAGTTATTTGATGCTTTTGTCTTACTGCTCGTAAAATTCTTTCCTTCACTTAACTTTGCATAACCTGATGATGATTATGCCTTGTGGAATGATCTTTTGGCATTGAATCTTTTGGACATTCTCTGGGCTTCTTGTATCTGGATGTCCCACCTGCTCTCCTACCTTAGCCTCAGGCAGTCTACAATCTGAATGTCAAAATGCAGCTGGCCTCAGGTGTTCTCACAGCAGCCTGCCCCAGCTAGTGATTGTCTGTCACTGGGACAGCCAGGGTTGTATTCTTGGGATATGGTGACTGGAGCTGTCCAGGGCTTGCCCCACCCCCCACTACCACCACTGCCACTACTGCCCCCGCACCACTCCACGTGGGTTTTGGCAGGACACAGTTGTGGGTGAGGCAACTTCCTGTGAGGGACTAGAGTCCCACAAGTCTCAAGAGGCCCTCCATGTCTGTGGCAGGAGCACAGAATTCCTTAATTCCCCTCCCTTACCTCCTCTACTGTGTCTGGAGACTGCCCATGGTCTGTGCCGTGATCCAAGCGAGAGTCTGGCCAGTTTCATCCCAGGTTGACTGATTTTTCTCTTCTTTGCACTATTTGACTATTATCTCTTCTTTGATGAGTCGTGAGATGCTCTGTTCATCCTATTCCTCTCTGGGTGCTGAGGTTTGCTCCAAAGGAGAAATACTCTGGCTGCCTCTAGTCGGCCATCTTAATCCCTTTCCTGGTAGTTCTATTTTTAATTTTTTGAGGAATTGCTATACTATATTCCATAGCAGCTACACCAGTTTACATTTCTACCAACAGTGCACAGGGGTTCTAGTTTTTCACATCCTTGCCAACACTTGTTATTTTGTTTTTTTTAAATAGCCCCTTTAATGGGTATAAGGTGGTATTTCATTATAGTTTCGATTTGTGTTTCCCTGATAATTAATGATGTTTGTCCATTTTAAAATTGAGTTATTTGGTTTTTTGTTGTTGAGTTTTAGGAGTTCTCTCTGTCTCCTGGGTATTAATCCCTTACCAAATATGTGATTTGCAAATATTTTCTCCCATTGTGTGGGTTGTGTTTTTACTCTGTTAATAGTATATTTTGATGCACAAATTTTTAGAATTTTTATAAAGTCCAATTTTCTATTTTTTCTTTTGTTATTTGTGCCTTTTTCTTTTGTTATTTGTGCCTTTTTCTTTTGTTATTGGTGTCATATCCAAGAAATTACTGCCAAATCCAATGTTATGAAGCTTTTGTTCTAGACTTTCTTCTTGGAGCTTATAGTTTTATCTTTTACATTTAGGTCTTTGATCTATTTTTAGTTAATTTTTGTATATGATTTTAGGTAAAGGTTGATTTCATTCTTCTTTTTCTTGTTTTTTGAGTTGAGTTCTCACTCTGTTGCCCAGGCTGGAATGCAGTGGCACAGTCATGACTTACCGCAGCCTCAACTTCTTAGGCTCAGATGATCCTTCCACCTCAGCCTCCCAAGTAGCTAGGACTATAGGCACATGCCACTACACTCAGCTAATTTTTCAATTTTGTTATAGAGATGAGGTCTTACTATGTTGTTGAGGCTGAACTCAGACTCCTGTGCTCAAGCATTCCTCCTGTCTCAGTTTCCCAAAGTGCTGGAATTATAGACATGAGCCACCACGCTTGGCCCAACTTTCTTTTGCATCTGGATATCCTTTTTTCCCAACACCATTTGTTGAAGAGACTTTCTTTTTCCCATTGAATGTTCTTGGCACCCTTGTCAAAAATCACTTGACTATATATGTGAGGATTCTTTCTGGGCTCTCTGTTTTATTCCATTGGTCTTTATCTCTGTCTTTATGCTTTTTGATTACTGTAGCTCTGTGGTAAATTTTGAAATCAGTAAGTGTGAGACCTCTAACTTCTTTTTAGAGATTGGTTTGGTTATTCAGGGTCCTTGAAATTTCATGGATGGGTTTTTCTACTTTTGTAAATAATATCACTGGGATTTGCATTGAATCTGTGGATTGCTTTGGGTGTTGTCTTAACAATATTGTCTTTCAATCCATGAATGTGGGATGTATTTTTATTTATATTTTTAATTTCTTTCAGCAGTGTTATGTAGTTTTCATTGTAGAAGTCTTTCACCAGCATTATTGTGTTTCTAGTATAATTTTGGAAGGTAATAGAAAGAAGCATTCATCTTAATTATTTCAGTTTTTTCTTTGTGACATTATTTATATAAAACATAAAGTGTGCTTTCTAATGACTTTTGTAGTGATTTTAGAAACTAAAAGTAGAGGGAAAACAATGTCAAAACCACTACTAATAATTGTGGTATCTTTCCTAGTCGTTTCTTTTTTGAATAGAGTTTTGTATATTCCTGTGTCTGTTTGTAGGTACACGTTTGTGATCTCTTTCCGTTTGCTTGTATCACTTGCGCATGTGATGTCTGACAGACACACCCGACCTCACACAGCCAGTGAGTGCAGATCTCTCACTAAAGGGGTCCCTTTGAGAAAATCGTCTCACAGACATGGTGGGATGCTCACTCAGGGCTGCACTGGCTGCTCTTAGGGGACTGAGGTGAAGTGCAGGAATGGATAGGAGGTGCTTGGGGCTGTGCATCAGCACAGAGCAGCACTGCTGGAAAAACTGAAAGAAGTAACATGAGAGGAGCAAGCCCTCATCTGGGCATGGGGGTTTGCTGCATCTGACATTGGGAAGGAAGGCCTTGTCAGTCACTCATTGCCATCTGTTGAGGAGCCCTCACCTTGTCCTGCTCCAGCACCACTTGAGAGACCAAGACAGAGCCCAGCGGTGGCTAAGTTGGAGGAGAGACTGTCTCCCCAGGCTCCCTTCAGTCCTGCCTCCCTGCTGCCCTCCTTATGTACCCACAGGTATTTGACAACACCCCCGCAGCTTTGGACGGCACAGTGGCAGCTGGCGATGAGATCACTGGTGTCAATGGCAGGTCAATCAAGGGAAAAACAAAAGTGGAAGTGGCAAAGATGATTCAGGAGGTGAAGGTAGGAACTGCGGCCGGAGTGGGCCCAGAGTGGCCATGCCACTTCTGAGACCTCTGGGCTACTAGGGGCCCCGGCAGGCCTGGATGGAAGGACCCATCCTCTAGCTTCCCCCTCCTTGGCACTTCAGGGTCTGGGTCACACTCCAGCCTCATTCGTCCAAGGAACACTAATTGTGTGGAGCCTTGGTGGGAGAGTAGACAACGAGACCACAAAGTCACTGTAAACTCCCTGGGGAACTGACAGACTTGAAACCATGCCTCAGGGCAGGCCAGTGTGTCCCCAGCCAGGCCTGGAGCTGAAGCTGAAAGTCCAAGGAGAACATACCTAGATCAGTGGATACCCAGTGATGTCAGCTGGGCCACACTGGGCCTGGGAGGGCTCGGAGGGAAAGGAGAACCTCCCATCCCTGGGAAGCCTTCAGTCGGGCAGGCCTTCCTGGCTCAGAGCTGCCCATGCATCCCCGGTCAGCTGGCCGTCTGTTCTGCAGGCCACAGCCATACACTGCCTGTTCCCTGCTCTCTCCCACCCCTAGCTGCTCCAGGCGAAGACCTCTCTCCACAGGCACCTGCCTGAAGGCAGCAGCATCCCGACCCCTCCGGAAGTGACCCCTCCAGGCAGCCTTGTCGTTTCCTACCTAGGGAGGTGGCTGCTTGTAGTTCTTGAGAAGCCAGTACTGTGAGAGAATTAAACGAGGGGGTCCCAAGCCACAGACGAGAGTTAGAAGTCTCAGTGGCAAGGTCCCAGCAAGCTTGACCATGTGTCGCAGCCTCCCAGCCCAGCCATACCAGCCGTTCCTCCCTACCCCCCACCTCTGTCTCCTGCGTTCCAGGCCCCTGTAGGCCCCATTGCCTGCCTTAACTCCGGCCAGCCACCTCTCCATCTCTCCTCTTCATTCTCCTGTCCTCTCCTGAAAGTCACCCCTGCCCTCCTTCCTGTAGGAAGGAAGATTCTGGTCCTGGAATTTCTGCTACCAGAGCCCCTTTAGCCGTAGCGCAAATCAGGGGCTGGGGCTGGGTCTCAGAGCTCTGTTGTACAAGAGGAGGTGACCAGGCTCATCGGGATCCCAGATGCCACTCCACATGGTCCTAGTGTGTGACCTATTGGGCAGAGAAGCTGGTCATGGAAGACAGGTGGAGGGTGTTTCACTCTGGCAGACTTGGCTTGTGTGTCTCCTCTCCTGTGTCCCCTCTCAGCTCATCAGATCCCTCCCTGTCCTCTGAAGCCTGCAAGCACAGGAGTTGCTTTGTTGCTCTTGTGTTGACCCATATCAGCTCCCTGTGGGATGACCCCCGAGCACACACTGGTGCATTCTGGGGGAGCAGTTCATATTCCATTCCGACTCTGACTGTATCGACTTATTTTGGTCCCTTTGGGACTTGATTTATTTTATTACTTGTTTTGTTTTGAGTCAGGGTTTCACTCTGTTGCCCAGGCTAGAGTGCAGTGGCATGATCATGGCTGACCACAGCCTCAACCTCCTGGGCTCAGGTGATCCTCCTGCCTCAGCCTCCTGAGTGGCTGGGACTGTAGGCGTACACTACCATGCCTGGCTAGTTTTCTGATTTTTATGGAGATGGGGTCTCATTATGTTGCCCAGGCTGGTCTTGAACTCCTGGGCTCAAGCAGTCCTACCACCTCGGTCTCCCAAACTGCTGGGATTACAAACTTGAGCCACCGAGCCCGCTGAGACTCGATTTTTAAATCCTATTTTATATTTGGTTAGACTCAGCCCCAAACTCATGGGCCTTTGGTTTGCAAGGACAAGAGTGACCATAGTGGCCTCACATGGTCAGGGAAGTCTCATCCAGAAACACCCACAACTGTGCTCAGAAGCCCTCTCCTGAGCAGTGGCTAGAATGCCATTTGTTGAATTCCGATTCACACTGGCCCTGAGGGACTGCGCCTGCCTCTTCCCCTTCACATTCCCCTTGGTTTCCCAGCACCAGGCACAGACAAAGTGCTCAGACATGTTCGTTGAATGAGTGCAGGGACTCCTGAGCATGGGGGTGATTTGGAGCTGAGGAGGGATATTCTATGTGGGGAAATGGTGTAGCAAAGGTTTGGAGTGTGCTGTGTGTGATGTGTGGAAGGGAAGAAGGGGTACCTGATATGGCCGGAGCACAAGGCATCAGAGACCATCAGGCAGTGAGCTCTGTGGTGACAGGACCATGTCTGCCTTGACCCTACTGATTCCCCAGGACCTGGAGATAGAGTGAGAAGAGAGGGACCTAGGAGCAGATGGGGTCACAAGTCAGGGCCATGTCACAGCCCTTAGTCCAGCCCCTTGCTGGGGATTGGTTTTCTCATGACCCACCACCCTGGGACAGACAGGCCTCACTGCAGGAGGGTCTTGGGGTCCAGGAGACTCCATCACAAGTGTGCCTGTGCTGCTCTTCCAGGGCGAGGTGACCATCCACTACAACAAGCTACAGGCGGACCCCAAGCAGGGCATGTCCCTGGATATTGGTAAGCTGGGCTGGAGCAGTGGCGGGTGTCCAGTGACCCCACAAACCCCCAGCTCAAAGGGGGAGTACCCAGCTCTTGTCTTTCCCTTTCTGACAATAGCATCAATAGTCACATGGCTGTGGGCTCTGACTTTCTGACCAAGCAACTCCCAAAGGCCTGGGAAGACCCAGGGTATGCTCCCTCTGGCTGTTCCCTGACTCTATCCTGGATTTCTCACTGCCCCGTGTTTTACCTCCCCCACCCCAGCCACCTCCTCTGGGACCTTGCTGCCCTAGGGTTGTCCTGGGCAGGCAGGCCAGCCCTTGGCTTTCTGCAGCCCCAGTCCTCACCCTTTCAAAAGAGCGGGCAGCCCAACCCTGGCCTGACACCTCATGTCCTGCACACCCCACTCCTTTTGGCCTCTTCTGCCATCTGCTTCCAGTGAGACTCCAGGTCTGAATTGGACTTCAGGCACTGGACAGAGGGGCAGGGGCCACCCCTTCTGCCCACGGCGTGCCCCGGGACCAGGTGCCTCCTGCCAGAGACACTGGGCCTTGCTCTGTAGGAACTTGAGGACTCAAGAGCTAGACAGTGGCTTCGAGTCTTCTGGGCCAGTGCCTCATTATGGATCGAGGCCTGAGACCCAGAAGTCCCGCGCCCCCCTGTGAGCACACACTCACACCCCTCCACTCGAGTCTGATGGCCCTTTTCCTGCTCCCTGGGGCCAGAGCCGCCTCCTGGTTTTAATGAAAGAGGTCAAGGGGAGATCGAGCCTTTCTTCCCATGAAACCCTTTGGTCCCCATCCAGTTCTCCTTCCAAGGATTAAGTTGGTCATGTGCAGTGACTGAGTCCCTAGTCCCATTACTTTGGCATGACTGGCCAGTAACTGACCCTTTTCCTCCCTTCCCCCTGTACGGTTCACCCCAGGCCCTGATGTGATGGAGACGAGGGGAGGAGGCTGTCCCTGGCTTTCTGCCACTGTGTTGTGTCCGGGCAGCGCGGGGCTCTCTGTGGTACCACTGGCTGGTGGCGTGCAGCAGACCCTTGCCTAAGCTCTTCCTGTTGACCTCTTTCCAGACTTAGGGCAGGGGCCCAGTGCCCTCTCCATTGGGACACTCCCCACTCCAGCTGTCCAGCACCAACCCCAGTTCAGTCCTCCTCGACCTGCCTCACCTCCACTCACCCCTGAGTGGAGGTGAGACTGGGGGCAGGGCTGGCCTGGGGCAGCTACAAACTCACTGGTCCTTTCTCACCCGGGCCCAGTGCTGAAGAAGGTCAAGCACCGGCTGGTGGAGAACATGAGCTCGGGGACTGCAGATGCCCTGGGTCTGAGCCGGGCCATCCTGTGCAATGGTGAGTCACCTCCATCCAGCTCTGGCCCTGGGGACTAGAGCCCAGGCTCGACACGGAGGGGTGCCATGGCTGTCCACCGAGCTGATGCGGGCCCTGCTGGCCTGGCCCTGGGCTTTGCCTAAGCCACCATCTCTGTGTGTCCCCAAAGGCCTTTCCAGCCCTCGGAATGTCCACAGCTCTTGGCTGGACCACTCTTACAACCATTGTCCCCCAGGTCACAGATGGGGCAACAGACTTGGAGGAGAGGTGCCTGAGTCCTGCCCCCAGCCCCCTCCTCACCCCCACCTGGGCACTCTCGCTGCCTGCCTCATGCCCACCTCATGCCTGCCTTTCTCCAGGAGATGGCGCTGCTGCCCTTTCCTTAGCAGCCCATGTCAGGGCTCTGGAGGTGGCTGCCCGGCGCGGAGAGTGAGGAGCTGTGGACATGCACATTTACACACACGCACACATGCGCACGTCCTCTCCCTGGGGTGGCCGCTGAAACACTCGGTCCCGCTCCTACCGTCGCCAGCCTGAGTTTATAAATAGCGCCAGCTCTGCAGTGTACGTGTGGGGTGGATATAAATACCTATATAAGTGGTGGGCTCAGCTGGGTGCACTGGGCTCTATTGGCTGGGCAGTGGAGGTGGGGCCTGAGCTGGTTCCAAGTGGTGTACTGAAGAGGCAGCTGCTATTTTCAGCCTCGTGGTGCCTATAAATCCTCGTTACTGTAGTTACCAGTCGCTGAGATGAAATTAGAACTGGTTGTTGTGTTTTTCCCCCAAACCTTGCAATTTCCCCAGCCTTAAATAGGGTTTCTAAAACTGAAGCTGTCATGTCCCATGACCCAGCTAAAAACAACAGCGCGACGCTTACGTGGCTCCTTTCCTGCTGGCTGGCCAGGCGCTAAGGCTTGGGAGCCAGGGCCTGGAGGCCGCCAGGTAGCCAGAACCTTCCAAAGACCTCCAAGGTGCTCCTTTCCTGCCCCATGGCCCATCTCCCAGCCACCTTCCATGCCAGAGAGAGGCCCAGACTCAGCCTCCTCTACTCCCCTCATCTCTTTTCTGCTTAAAAACCCCAACCCAGGTCCACACAGCACCCTGGGAAAAGAGAGCACCCAGCTCCAACAGTACCTGGCTGTGTGGCTTTGGGCAAGTTGCTTTACTTCTCTGTCCCTCAAATTTCTCTGTAAAACAGGGAGAGTCATCTTCAAAAGGCGCAGATTGAGGAAGGGCTGAGCTGTGACCAGGGAGCCTTCAGCAGGCCTGGCTCACAGCACAGTAACACAGTAAGAACCAGGCCCTGTCCCAGGGGTGCTGGGGTAAGGAATCCGCCCACCCGGACCCCTGTCCTCCAGTGGCTCCTGGTGGAGAGGTGTGCGTCTGCCTCCTCCTCCTTGGGGAGGTCCGAGCAAGGCAGAGGGAGTGCTCAACGTCTTAGTGCCACACTGCCCTGGTCCTTGGCTTGCCTTGTTAGCTCCCTACCTGCGCCGCACATCTGGAATGCCTGCCCCATCCCTGGCACGCAGCATCTCCCGTTTCACGCCCTTGAGGTGAAGCCCTTACTGTCACATCACCTGCCCTTGCCCAGCCACTGGTCTGACTCCTCTGGTACACTTCAAGCCTTGAGGGCAGACCTTGGCTCTTATCTACCATGGCCATCCCCTAGGCCTAACACGGTGGCTGGCACATTGTAGGTGCTCGATAAACACCAGTTACGCCAATAGCTATGATCACCAAGGCCTGCCCTCTTGTGCACTCTTCCTCAGAGTCTTCCTGAATCTCTCTCCCTCCCCAAATCGTGTTCTGCCTTCTGAACCTTCCATGTGCTGCTCCTGAAGTGGTGGCCACATCTGGCCTGCATTCAAGGTTCAGCTGATTGTCTCCTCTCCCTCTGGTCTCGGCCTGGTTATTGCTTAGCTGCCGGCAGGCTTGTGCTAGACAAGGGCCTTCTACTGGCTGTAACACCAGGCTGGCCTGAGGTGCCAGATCCCTCTCCCTGGGACCCCTACTCTCTCTGATCCTGCTTCTCTGGGGCCATCTTTCCCTTCCCAAGCCTGGCCCTGGGCCTCCTGTGGGGAGATGTGTGTGTGCCTCTCTCTCCTGACCCATGGCTTGCTGAAACTAACCGGCCTCCTCCCCTGCATTCCCACAGATGGGCTTGTCAAGCGGCTGGAGGAGCTGGAGCGGACTGCTGAGCTATACAAAGGTGAGTAGGGGCCCTGGTCCAGGCATGGACCCTGCCTGGGTAGCCTGCTCTAGACAGTGGCAGCGGGGCACCTGCACTAGGAATGCCAGCTTGCAAAGTTCTAGATCTGTGGTCATTAAGAAGTGTTAAGAAGCTGGGCACAATGGCTCACACCTGTAATCCCAGCACTTTTAGAGGCGGAGGCGAGATAATTGCCTGAGCCCACAGGTTTGAGACCAGCCTGGGCAACGTGGTGAGACATTGACTCTACCATAAAATTAAAAAATTAGCTGGGTGTGGTGGTGAGTGCCTGTAGTTCCAGCTACTTGGAAGGCTGAGGCAGAAAGATTGCCTAAGCCCAGCAGGTCAAGGCTGCGGTGGCTGTGAGCATGCCACTGCATTCCAGCCTGGGTGACAGTGAGACTCCGACTCAAAAAAAAAAAAATTAAGAATACACACTTTTTCTGAAGTTAAAAATGATTCCTATCCATAAAAATTCAATTCATAGCACCTGTAACATGCTCTCCCCATTCGCAGGTTCCCTGTCTGGCGGGGCCTCTCATGGGTGGGGCCGATGCTGAGGCCTCACCCCTGACCCCAGCGGGGCTGTGGGAAAAGTCAGGGCACCAGAACCCAGTTTGGGCCTTAGACGGGGTGAGAGTTGGAGGTTGTGCCCTGGGCCAGCATGGTCCCCGCCACGTGTCCCTGTTACTTGGGTCTCTCCCACAGGGATGACGGAACACACCAAGAACCTCCTGCGGGCCTTCTATGAACTGTCACAGACGCACCGGGGTAATGGCATCCCCCAGACCTGCTGCGTGACCTGGGGCAAATAACCTCCACCTCTCTGGGCTCAGTACCCCATACAGTGAGGGTATGACTGAGTTCCTCTCTGGGGCCCTTGTCAGACCCACAGCATCTGACCTCAGGCCTGCTTGGGGCTGGGCATGGTCCGAGGTGCTGGACGGAGCAGTGATGGGCCAGTGGGAAGCATCTGGATCGCCAGCCTTCTAAGGCCACATGACGGGATGTCCAGGCCCCACCTCATCTCCTTGCACTGCACCCACATGCACTGGCCCTCTCTTGCTTAGGATCATGTTTCTTGCAAGTCCACTAGTGAGGCAGGGCAGCTGCATCAGCTCCGTTTACAACTGGGAAGATGAAGTCCAGACATGAAAGGTTCACAGCTCCTAAGGGAGCTAGCTTTAGAACCCAGGTGTCCAGATGCCAGAGCATCTCTGCCTTCCAGGGCCACCTTGAATCTTGACCCAGCCTTCTCATTGCCTGGTCACTCTGAGAATGAGGGCCAGCTCCCTTGGGGTGTAGACTCAGCTCTTTGGGGGGTGTGGCTCTCTTGGGGGAGTAGACCCAGCTCCCTGGGGCTGTAGATCCCATGCAGACGTTGGTCTCCAGCCTGCCAGACCCCCTGTCCTGCTTCTCCCCAACAAATTCCCGGCTTCTCCATTAGGGGGTCAAGTAGGGGCAGCCTTCAAGGCAAACTTGTCATGCAGCCTTTGGGGACGTGTTCTCTGTGATTGGGGTGCGGGAGCCCCAGCCGGCTGCCAGTGAGGCCTTCGTGAAGTTTGCTGACGCCCACCGCAGTATTGAGAAGTTTGGCATCCGGCTTCTGAAAACCATCAAACCGGTAGGTCCTGCTGAGCTGAGCATGTGTGAGTCCAGCTTGCGATGCTCGGGAGGGGACAGCGTAGCATGGTGCCATCACCCACCTGGCTGACTTTAGCCTTCTCATCCTTGAAATGGACTCAGAGCTCCCTCTGGCTCTGATAACACCCCTGGAAGGGAGGATGTATCAGTGCCATCTTTGTCACCCTGGTACCTGCTGCCTGTGAGGGCCTCAGCACCTACCTCAGTCTCCTCTTCCAGATGCTGACAGACCTGAACACATACCTCAACAAAGCCATCCCAGACACCCGCCTCACCATCAAGAAGTACCTGGACGTGAAGTTTGAGTACTTGGTGAGTAGTCTCCAGCATCTGCCTGCCGGGTGGGCAGCGGGACCACTGGGCGAGCAAGACCGGACTGGAACCTCCAGCATGTCTGCTGGGGTTTGGGGAGTGTAGCCTAGGCCCTGCCCATCTGCTCAGAGGAGCCTCTGAGAGACTGGGATGCTGGGTGGGCAGAGCTCATTCTCCATGCCACTCTGACCAGCCACCTGGGACTTTTTGGTCACCTTTAACAACGAGTTAGACTAGGTGAGGGGTTGAAAAGTGGGTGTCAGTGGGTGTTAATGAGTTTTACATTCAAATGATAATTCTATGGTCAAAGGAATTGAGAAAAATGCTTCATTAAGCAAGTCAAGGTTCCTTTGCTGCAGGACTTCTCAGAGCCTTTGATAGTTCCATTTGCAGCTTGACTCTTCAAGGGTCTCCCCAAGCTCCTTTGACCATGGACTCCTTTTTAAAATTTTTATTTTAAAGATGTGGGATACAGTTCAGGGTTAGGTATACAAATGGTCATTGTACAGGTAAAGTTGAGCCTCACTTTGGTCCCCATGTCACCTGGCTTGAGATCAGGTACCCTTATTGATAAAGTGTGCTCCCTCCTCTCCCCCACCATTACCTCCCTTGGCAGTTTCCCACTACTGCCAATTTCTTTCTTATAATATTATGATGATTATTCAGGGTCTGCTTATGAGTGAAAACGTGGCACTCAGTTCTTTGTTTCTGTGATAGATCACTGAGTATTTATAGACTCTAAATCCATCCAAGTTGCTGTGAAGTTCATAATTTTGTCCTTTATGGCTGTATAATATTCCATCATGTATATATACTACGATTTTTTAATCTGGTCTACTTCTGATGGTCAGCACAGTTCCATGTTTTTGCTGTTGTGAAAAGTGCTGCAATAAACATGCATGTTCAGGTAGAATGATTGAGTTCCTCCAGGTATATTCCCAGAAGAGAGATTGCTAGGTTGTATGGGAGGTCAATTTTTTTTTTTTTTTTTTTGAGTTGGAGTCTCACTCTGTC